CTTCCTGTTTGTTGGACCCTGTTTTGCTTCTTTGTCTGGGGCTGGTTGCATCTGGTGTTCCTCAAGGCTCAGTCATGGGCCCTTTGTTATTCCATATTTAGTTATATCCTCTTTTTCAAATTCTATAATTACAGGGTCTGAAATATCATTTAGTCTTTGTATGTCTATCTCCTTAGAATAATTGGATTTCGCACAATATTTTGCATCTTAACTATGATAATTGTGATTGCGGTGTTGTTACTGGGCTCCTCCCATGAGCTCTTTAAAACCATTGCTTTATCCTTGCCAGCTTACAGCTTTGTGCTGGCGTTCTGATCCAGAAAGAAGATTCCTTAATTATGGACCTTGTGCAGCATATTGTAAAAAGTGTTTGTGTCCCAAATGAGAAATATTGCTATGTTGCACTGAATTCAGTACTGTATGTATTTGTATAGCTGTCTGGACAGTAAGAATCCTGACTAGGTTACACACTAGCAATTACTGCTTTCATGGAGTCCCTACTCCGGCATCCTGTTGCATTTTGACTCGATTTTAAAGTCCTTCTGCTTCTATTCCAGGAGTTTCATGGCTTGGCTCCTCAGTATCTAGCTCCCCTCTACACAACCTTTGCTCAGCTGATTCTGCTTTAATACACATCCCCATGCTCATTCTCACTCTGTAGCCCCAGAGCTCCAGAACAACTCCCCTAAATAAATCAGGGACTGAAAGCTGAGAACCGTTTAACCAACCAAAACTGGTTCAGTGAAACTTAAACCAGAAGGCACAATTGGAAAATATCTAGTTCATTTTTAATTATAATAAGATTTTGTTTGCATAGCACCTTTAAAAGCAGTGTTTTAAAGCACTTTACAAGTGAAAAGAGGTATTCAGCACAAGATCCATGGTCATTATAAGATGGAGCTGACACAGACACTAATTAAGTAAAAACCTTTTGGAAAAGAAAGGTTTTGTGTCTAGTTTTCAATACACTCATGGAAGGTTACTTTCTGATATCCTAGGGCATAGAATTCCAGAGCTTTGGGGAGTAGCAGGAGTAGCTCTGACAGCCATTGAATGTAAACAAGACTGGGGGACATACAGTATACTCTAGGGGGTGGCTGCTAGACAGATAAGAAGTCAAATAGGTGCTGAGGTGCCAAGCCTTGTAACACAGAAACATAGCATAACTTTATTAGCCCTATACAATTTCTTGCATTAGGAATTCGTCTTTTCGCATACCCCAGCAGAGCCTTGTAGAGCCTTGTAGGTGAGCAAGAGGATTTTGAACCCAACTCAGCACCTGATAGGAAGCCGGTGCAAGGACTCTAAAACAGGAGTACTGTGCAAGATCTGGCCAGGATTCAGGCTGCCAAATTATGAGCATGTTTGAGTTTGTTCAATGTGCATTTAGATACCCTAGTCTAGAGTGTTGTAGTAATAAATACATAGGACACAGCACAGCAATCATTCTGAGATGGGAGAATTATGTTTTTTTTACCATATTCTGCACATTAGGGTAAAAAAAAATCATCTTTGATTACATAATCAAATATCACCCTTAAATTCTTCGTTTGATTAAAATTCAAGTACAGTGCCATCTGCAGATAGGGCTATTGCATTGGCTTCACGTAGGGAATGGAAGATGCTGAGTAGCATGACCTGAGTCATGTCCCAGTTGAAGTGAAGGACAGTTTGTGTCTTCCAAGTTTGTATATGAGAGATACAATTAGAGAGTGCAGAAACAGCTACTTCAGTGTCAGATTTAGTATGGATGCGAATTTGAATATCACCAGAATAGAAATGATCATTCAGATCATGTGATGTTTATAGCTGGCCAAGTGGGAACTTGAATGTTGAATAGCAGGGGGCCCAGTATGGAGCCCTGAGGAATACCAGATTTAACAAACCCAGCTTCTGAACTGAAAAACCCAAGAGAGACAGTGTTGGTAATCAGTAAGATAAGAATTGAACCATTAAAGAGTGATGTCAGAAACTCCAAGCCAGACAGAACAGTAAGATGTCATGATTAATTGTGTCAAAAGAAACACTTAGATCTAAAAAACTGTTCAGTCTGCCTTTGGGATTGCTGTAGTTTCAATTCAATCCCTCAGCTCTTGGCATGCTGTGCTCCTCGCTCCCACTGCGTGTTGGACCTGAAGCACACTGGGCACCAAATGAAAGTACTGTACAAACACTGAAGGGTTTGCCTGGAGGTCCCTGTTTCTAAAGTGCTATTAAAAGCAGTTGATATACATCCTCTTCCTGGTACTTCAGCTCCTTCCTCATATTGTGCCACAATGACCAACAGTCCTTATCACACAATATAACTGTATCTTACTTTATTCCAGGACTTCCCGTGTTTTCTGCTTTTTTTTTTTATTTTGAATGACTTTTCAGCAACTCAATTAATCCTTTAATGGAACTAACGGCCCAGTGATTCAAGTTGTCAAGTTGTAAATGAAAACATTTACAAGCAAATGGGAACCTAAGAATCCATGAAAACTGCTAAGTTTCAAAATGGAATTTGCAAATTCGACGGATTGATCTTTATTATCCAGCATGGTGGTGCAGTGATCAGCACTGCTGCCTTGCAGTGCCGGGGCCCTCGGTCCAATTCCAGACCGGGGTGCTGTCTGTGAGGAGTTTGCATGGTCTCCACTTGTTTGTGTGGGTTACCTCCAGGTACTCCGGTTTTCTCCCACATACTGGTGGGTGAATCGGCTTCTGTAAAACTGGCTCAGGTCTGAATGCGTGTCTGTGTGGGCCTTGCGATGGACTGTCCCATCTAGGCTGTATCCCGTCCCGTGCCCAGTGCCAGGATAGGCTCCGAGTCCCCTGCGACCCTGTAACCCAGCAGTTAGAAGATGGATGGATCTTTATTATAATAATATGGCAATTTGTTTTATGCCATTAACATCTGATGACCTTTCTCATTCATCTACATAAACCAAAGTGCCAGCAGTATCCTCATACACCTTTTAAAAATAATAACATACCAAACTTCATCATTAGTTAGCAGATCTTTCACATCTATTAGCTAAAATATGGTATCGCAAAGGAAATTAATCATGACATTTCTACATCATTGCCTACAAAAACTATTAGAAAGATAAACACCAGCTGGTAAGAAAGAACTCAAAACATGTCTTTGCAAATCAGCGGTAATTAATCGTAATGAATAGTTAAGGGACGTGTCTTATCGTCCAGGATACGGTTTAACCACTTATCTAGCGGACAGATGTTCTACGACCACTTATTTTATTTGCAATACTACTAATTTTGTTGATCTCTTACCTACAACAGACAATCCAGCACTTGGTCACAAACAGGTTGCAGTTACACTCAGCCCGAATATTTTACACCGCAATGTTTCGACAGTTCTGTGGTCAATGAAGAGTATTGACCTGCGCATAAAATATAACCACTGCTGCCCTTTTTATCAGGAATGAGGGCAAATCGAAAAATCAGTTATGACTCGTGCCCGATAAACGCGTTTGTGTAGCAACTCGGCCCGTGCAGGTTTCTCCGAGTGCAGCTTCAAGGCCATGATCGCGATCACCGTAGGTTGCAGTTGACCTGCCAGGGCACCTCAGCAGAAAGCCGTACGAGGATACTGCTGGTGCGGTGCTGTCTGAGAGGACCCGCCGAGCCCCCGGTACTGGGCTGCGGGTCCTGGGGCCTGTGAGGTGGGTCTACACGTCCTCATTCCCCATGTACGAATCACAGTTAACTGCAGAGACATGAAAACACAACTGGATATTCCAGTAATCCAGACGGACTAACACATACCTAAAATAACACTGCTTTAAATAACCAAATTAATCTACTTTTCAACACTATCCAGTTCTGTGAGGGCTGTTTTATTGTCCATTTTGTTTTGTTTTTTCTCTCAACGTAACTATGTCTCCATTGTTTTAATTTTAGTTAAAAAAGTACTCTTACTGCGCTCTGCAGTTTACAGTTCTGCATTGCTGTGTTCATGGGGGGAGATCGTCGGCCAACCCATCACTCCAGAACACAGGGACTCTCGACACTGCGTGGAGCGGAGCGCTAGAGTGCGCGTGGTGCCGCGGCGCTCCCAGCTCATTTGCGCCAGGCCAAGAGACACATACTTTCATATACATATACTTCTGTGGTAGCAGGAAAATATGTGTTGGAATGATTTAATTTATGTTAAATACATTTAAAATAATGAGGTAATGCGTCCTGGGCCCAGTTACTGGGGTACTGTCTGTGAGGAGTTTGTATGTTTTTACTGTGTTCACATGGGTTTCCTCCTACAGCCTCAAAACAAACTGGAGAATTAATTGGCTTCTGGGAGAACTGTCCCTGGTGTGTGAGTGTGTGTCTGCCCTGGAATGGACTGCCGTCCTGCCCTATGGTGTACCTGCCCGGCACATGTTGCTTGCCAGGATAGGCTCTGGTGCCCCTGTGACCCTGAGTTTGATAAAGTGGTTAGAAAGTGGATGGATTATAAGTTGTCACTACCAGACTCTCTTTTAAGCAAGACACTGATACAGTGTTCATTCATTTTCCTTCAGTGCTCAGTTTCATTGGGCATGTGAATACATCTGGAGGGCAATGTACATCATAGTTGATATTTTAAAATGCATTATGGTTAACGTAAATCAAGCATGTGTGCAACATAATGAGTCCTAAAGGAGCAGACAAGTGAGAATTGTCTCCTCATTGATCAGAGCAAGACAGAAGCCTGGCGCTGTGTGCTGTAAACATGCTCTCAGGATGCTGGGAGACACTGCCGTGGGGGAGAGTGACCCTCCCTCGCACTGTTGTCCTGGTACTTCTAATTATTCCCGAGTTGAGGAAGCTGATACCCAAGCTTCTCTTAAGAAACAGCTGGAGGAGATCCTTGGATCAATTAACTACTAACTACCAAAGGGTTCAATGGCATCCTCTCCTTTGTCACCTTTCTTATGGATTATTCCTGCCCTGCTGATTGGACCCTTTTCTTGGTTCCATGCAAAGTCTGATTATCATTAAATGCTAATACTCACAACAGCTTAAACCTAAAAATTCCAACTTTATTATGACATTTCTCATTAAATACATTTAAAATTGTATTTTAAACCACATTTCACTCTCATAAAATATCTAATTTCCTGCATAATATGCCTCTTTCACTTTTTCTTCAGGCATGATACTATACAGTGAACCATTATACTTTTTCTGACCTGATTATTTTAAAATAGTTCATAGCTGTATAACATTCAAATTAGCTGTTCAACTTCAAGTCTCAGACGTTTAAACTGATCTCTGACTACAATAACACATGCATCCTTAGTTATCAAAATTGAATTTCAAAGTATCAAAAGATAGCTTGTCATTTTAATTATGTTATTTGGGATCTAAAGTCCAAAAAGAAAATATTTTTATAAGGCTGTGAAATTTTCAAACTTAAATCCATTTTCTTTTGGGATACAAGAATTGTATCAATCTGAGTTTCTGGATCTTCATGTTTGGGATGAATCCTCAGATTACCCCGGAGATATGACTTCCAACGCAGCAAAGTCCGCACGGCTCTGCACTTTGAGCACGAGTCTCTTCCCTGTCCCTGGGCCAGGCACTGGGTCACCGTGGTTACGTATCCTGGTCGGAATTCACTTTCACTCAATGCAGCCTGAATACCAGTGTTTCCTGTGCCTGTTGACATCAAGATTGGGTACCACCCAGTCATGGCAGTCGGGCTCTTTGAGCATTTTGTGCATCTATGGAAATATTCAACCTAGCACAGGATTCAACAAGTGACAGCTTGGTAGACATATGGCAAAAAAAGCACTGAAAGTGTGCAGTTCCACATGTGGAAACTGAGCACTAGGGAACTTTCATTCAACCTGTTCTATGCCAACATTCTCTAAAGGCTAACATGACACACCTTACTCCAGGCCACACATCATCACACTGCTGATTCACACTGGCAGACTTCGCAGTTGCTCTAAACTATTAAATAAGATTAGTGAACAGCTAAATAAAACCAGAAGAAGAATTCACAGGATTAGTAAAAATTCATTTTTAACGACAGGCTTTGCTATGGAAGCTTATGAGCACCACAAAAATATTTTTTTGTGTTTATACTAGATAACATTCCATTTAAATAAGCTACTTTTTTATGTTTAAAGAGATACATTTGCATTTAAACTAGATCATGTGATTAAACAAGATAATTTTGCATTTAAACAAGATACTTACAATAAACAAGATAGTGTTCCAAACACATCCCCAGCAAATGGGCTCTCTTCATAAATGTATTACTCTGTTGGCTACGGCTTGTGTACCAACCTTTAATTGTCTTTCATTTTGTTTGGCTTCCCTCTATCTCTTTATAATCACGTCTCGTCTGTGCAAACCAATGCTGTTTCTTCTCCCTTCAAATGACGTTTCCTGCATTTTGCTGTGTAATTTCAAATTCAGCATTTGATGTCAGCATAGGTTAAAACCTTTTGAGTTTTTTTCTTTAAAGATTTAATGATCTACCAAATCATTAGCTGTAAGAGTAAACCAACAGTAAGTATCTTACTGTCAGCGTCCTGTAAATGTCTTCTGTCCAATGTTTAAAGATTAGGCAAAGATTTACAGTATGCACAGCTCATGCTTCTTGATTTTCACATGAATAATAGCACACATTTGTAAAGCCATGTGATTTCTGCTTTTCACAGAAATGGTGAAAAAGACATGTTTAACCCAGGAAAGCTAAATCACAGGGTGTTCTACTCTGTGTAAACGAAAGACAGAACACATGCTCCTTAAGACTAATTAATTTGTTCAAAGAGTAGTGTGACAATATTCTTCTGTTGTTAATAACAGTGCTATGTTGCATGGGACAGTATTACTTCATGTACAGTATATTGCAAGATATTAATACACTAGGCAATATCGTTTATGAAGTAATTATCACTTTATAATGTAATGTTAGCTTGTTTTTACGCAATATTATCTTGTTTAAATGCAAATATCTTTTTTTTCTCCATGGCACTAATAGGCATCTTTATTTTGCTTTTTCAAGTTCAATGGCAGCAGGACAAAATAAAAAAACAACCACTTCAAGGTTAATGTTTGTTAATGTTAATGTTGTTTTAAATTTTTACTTTAAAAGTACGACATCATTCAGAATTTTTCCACTTAAGTCATTTCTCACAGCAGCTCCTGGGTTCACAGCTCGTTCTGGTTATTCAGTAGGCTGAAGGACAAGATAACTTCCATGTCTGAGGATTCGCTTTTGAACTTGCCAGCCAGTTTCAGCTCTGGAACTGCACTTCCTGTGAACACCTCTCCCTCCCACACCCGACTCTTATTGAGCTGGAGGTCTGTCTGCGACTCGCCCACCACGCATATGCTATGTGCCCCGGGGCATCGAACCCGGAACCGGACCCGGCTCAGAGGCTCAAGCATGCCAGCCCTGGGCTCGAACAGCACACAGCCTTTCCTCCAAGCTGAGTAGGTACTAGGGAACGGGGGCCACCTATTTTCTGAGGTACACCTCAAGACATAATCGCACAGGTGGCTGAAGTCCTGGCTGGAGTCTGTCTTAGCATAGAGTCCCAGTTTGTAGATTCCAGCCTCAGGCAAAGAGACGCTCACAGTGACCTTGCAGTCAGTTTGGGTGAATAGGACATGTCTGCTTAGGGGGTGACCAGAGGTCTTGAGGGGTTCCTTCACCAGGACAGCATGGAGCTCCAGGTCCCTGGAGTTATGGAAGGTGATGTTACACTTGCCCTGCTGGGTGTTGATGATGGCTCCAGTGTGGCTGAACTTCGAGATGCCAGCCTGTGCTGTCTTAATGCCAGGGCCACAGGATGTGCTGAGGGCAGGTGGAAACAGCTCATTGAGATTGATCCCAGACCCTGTGCACTTTAGCAGGAAGTTGCCCACATTTTGAAATGGATCCTCTCGCCTGTTAAAATCCCTGACGAAGACAGACAGGCGGTAGTATCCTCGGTATGGGCACAGGACATGGCAGGTCAGCCGGTCCAGCTCAATTTGGGTAGCGAGGCACCTCTTGGCCAGGCAGGTGTCCAGGTCTTTGTGGACGAGCTCACACAGCAACATTAGGGGTTTTGATGTCCGGACTACCAACTCAAAAGATCCGTTCTCCAACATGATAGGCTCAGCCCCATGGGAGCATTCTTTCAAGCCCAAGGCCTGCGCATTTTGCTGGAGCCCCCAGGAGAGAAAGGGGTTCTCTGGAAGCTCTTCAGAAGGCTGGGGCTCTGGACACTCCAGCTGGAAGGAGCACACCCAATGGAAGGTCCCAGCCGTGTTAGCGGGACGAGAAAATATCTTCACGTCGTAGATGCCACATGCCGGAGGGATGAGCTTCAGCTTCATGCCCATTCGGGAGATGGTTAGCAGTCCAAAGGAGCTGCTGACATCCTGGGTGATGACGCCACTCTGCTGGGAGATCTGGTAGGTGAAGTCCAGTGGTCTCCGGCAGCCAAGGGACACTGTAGCCTCTCCGTTCACTGGGGATCAGAAACATCATCAACACTCTAAGAGTCCCCATTTCATCCCAAGTCTTCAGCCTGTTCACCCTGAAGAGTGCAGTTTTAAATTTGGTTTCTCCCTATTGTCTTTAATTCTGTAAGAACCAGATCCATTTCTAAAGGCCTTTACAAGCAGCTCCAATCCTTTTTTTCAATGTGTTTCTTTTAAAAACGTAAGCTAATATCTCTAATTGATCAATTTAGAAGCAATCCTGGTTCAGTCTGAACCATAGCATTTAAAAATATGGTTTTCTTCTTTGGAAAAATGCTGCTTGTAGTACTTCATTCCCTGCTATGCTTTTCAGCTGTAGATAATTTTCTAGCATTCATGAAGTAATTTTCTGAACTGATTTGAAGCATTAAATTTAATTATAGTAAATCTAATTATACAGATGACCCTGCTTTTCCATTTGCAGTTGCTGAGAGCACACAAGGTCCTGATGCTGGGTACCTGTGAGCAGGTGGGAGTGCTTGGGATACAGGACGGTCAAGCCCATCCTATAGAACTCGGAAGTCTTGAAGACCCTCCTCTCAAACTCCTCCAGGGGGACAGGGTGGTCCAGGAGCTGCCACTGGGGCTCGTCTGGGCAGTGTGTGTCAATGAAATCCTCTGGGTCAGGCAGGAAGTAGAATTCATCGTACCTGAGCAGCACACATGATGGAGATGGATGATGCATGAGAAGTCACTGCTAAAAACGATAATGTTTTGTTTTCTTCCACAAACATTGTCACACTTCCAGTGAACCACTGTGACGAGAGACAAAGAAAGATGGAGAATTGCTAGCTGGGGAATAGCTCAGTTCTTTCTAGTTTGCAAACATTAAGTAGCTGGCAAAGTTAGTCTTAGCTCCGCTGCCTATCCACACTGTCATGCACTCACCTGGGCATGAAGGTCTTGCTTTCGATGTCTACTGTGCCCGCTCCCCAGCAGGCGTCCAACAGGAACCACTGGCCCCCCAGACGCACGGCATTCCACATGTGGTTGGACTTGGTGTTCTGGTAGCTCTGTCCCACACGGTAACCGATGCCCTTGCCATGACCAGATATCTCCCGGCACTCGATACCCACCTCACTGCCAACACATGAGCACTCTGATCATGTACTGCACTGGACTGCTTGTCTTACATTACTGTCCCTGAGCCAGGTGAGAGAGAGTGTGGAGTCTTCTAGGAAGCACTTCTTTACCCAGTGAGCTCTTGAGTCTGTGAGTCTGGAACAAGCTACCCAGCCATATTGTTAAGGCTAGTCATTTCATCATCATTTCATTGTTTCATCTTGATTTGTTTCAAGAAACATCTGGATGAAATCCTGGGATCAATTACTTACTAACTACCAAATGGGTTAGATCGGTTGACCTCTCATTTGTAACCATGCTTGTGCTTTTATATCTTTATCATAACTGCTACTATAATTTATAGTACCGTAACTACTGTTTGTGCTGCTACTAGTATGATTTCTGATAGTATAAATATTATTGCTACTGAAATCTCATTAATCACTCTTGACGGACCTCTGAAGCTCAGGCAGGCTGGACATAGTCAGTACTGTGATGAAAGGAAAACCAAGCTGCTGCTGCAAGTGGCTCTGGAGGACCAGTAAGTGGGGTTTTTTCTTTGGACCAGCTTTTCCAAACCAATTCCCCAGTATAGAGACTGAAGACACTGTGTTGTAAGAGTGCTGCCCTTTCAATAAGGAATTAAACTGAAGATAATAATATAATAATCCAATTATGCAATTCTGAGCACTTTTCATAAAACACAAAGCATTGTATAATAGCACACATAATGCATATTACAGAAGTAAAGAAAATGTAGAAAACTAGAGCCAATCGACCTAGTAAAACTAAATTACACATTAAAAGCATTAGTGAAATTATAGCTCTTTGAGTGAGTTTTGAAGACAGACACAGAGTCCCTAATTGATTTGGGCAGAAGTTTTACAAATGTGCTGTTAAAAGAGCTAAGGCTCTATCACCCATTTGGCTTAGCCAGATCTCAAGTCTGATAAGCAGATCTCAGGATAACAGTTTGGCTATACTTAAGATATAAGTATATATGTATATATCAGTATAACACAAGTCGGACGTTATAAACTGAGAGTAGTTTTAGTTAGCACATGGGCCACTGAATGCAGAATGGCTCTCTATGTATATGTAAATAGAGGGGCACTGATACAAAAACAGTGTAACTACAAGCATGAAAGAATCCTATGATATTACACTGTAAAAAAGGATCACATTTTGAAACACAATTCCCCAAACATGGAAGACATTTAGAGATTCTTTGTGACAAAGAATGTTTTATCATTGGAAAGTGTTCCTAGCCTATTAAAAAGAAAACAAAATCCCTTTTGTTTTGAGAAAAACATGTTTCTTGGATGGGCTTGTTCATACAAGAGTTAGGAAATAAAAAAGGATTCAGGCAGAGGTGTCACACACTGAGGTGGGTCTGTATGTGCCACAGACAGGCAGTATCTGTGGCACGGCCGTACCTGCACATCTGGAGACAGATGCTGGAGTAGCCACAGCACACGCCCTTCCCTGCCTTGATCACATGTTCCGGCGAGCATAGCTTCTCTGACAGGCCCAGGTACCCACTCACATCGTACTCTGCAGGTCAGGGAGAATGAGCATTGAACATAGAGTGACCGGGCATGCTTCAGCATTTTCTCATATGGACACAAGAATAATTACAAATAATAGGAGGTCAATCAACCTCCCTGGCCATTAAGTCATTCATAGTCTATGGTTCATGCTTCAGCTTCCATACTCCCACAACTCTTTGTGCAAAGAAGTGCCTTCTGTTCTTGATTTTAAATGACCTAAATGTTGGTAGCTGGTAATCAGGTTAAATCATCTTGGTAGTGGGACAATGTGAAATATAAATATTAATACTGCAAATGTTTTTACTACTGTCTGAAGTACATGAAGTACTGTCTGATGCACATTATGTACTGTAGTGTTTCCATCTATAAAATCAATACATTACAGTTTATCTACTGTACCACTGTTTGGGATTTAAGCTGATCAATCAAACTAGAAGCAGGTCAGGCTGACCTATGTTATGGCACAACCAGGTCCATACGGCTCGCACCCTCTCCAGGTCACTCACTGCCCCCTGTGTGATTGTCTGGCCGATCTTCTGCACACTGTAAATCCCTTGTGCTCGCAGCTTTGAAAACAGACACAGCTTGAGATAAAAATACAGCTTGATGCTAATTGTTGATTAAAAAAATGCTTGGTAATTGGGTATAAAGAATTCTTCACAAAATAACTTGTTTTTACTCACTTTTACCATTTTATCCATCTTGGCCAATTCCAGAAACAATCTGGATTATGGTCCTGGATTGGCTGATAAGGAACTACTGTACAATATGTACTGAAAATTTCATAGGCCTGAGGCTACAGAGACCACTGACTCACCTTCAATCCAGGAATTTTTAACATTTAACATTTACATATCCTCACATTTCCATGAGAACAAGGACTTGATTGATATCTTACCTGTTCATGAATACAAAAATGCAAATTTAGGAAGATGTTATTACAACCAAAACATGACAGATAGTAGCACTTTCAGAGGTAACTGACATCTGTTTTTCATTACTGAGGTGAAAAGGAAACCTATAGAAAGTGATATGTGTCATTGCAGTCAGAGGTTAATACAAGCCAATAGAAGCAGCAATGAAAGTTCAGTAACTTCTGTGCTATAAATCTGTCTGCTTTGAGTTTGTATGTTCTCCTGTGCCTGTCTGTGATTTCTGTGGGTCCTCATGCTGCCCAGGTTAACTGGCATTGCTAAATGATTCCCCATTTGTGTCTATGTGTTTATGCACCCTGTGATGGACAGGATACTCTTCCGACATGTGTCTGCCTCCAGCTGCAGTTATAGAAATTGGAAGGATGAATAGTGTACATTAGAATAGTACCTCATGCTTTGAAGTTTTATGGCATTTTCAAATATTTTGTGCTCAGTGTTATTTTATCTGAGACAGTGGGGATATATGTAATGTGTGAAGTACACATGCAACAGTAACTGACAGATTCTGCAATGCTGGAGCGTACTTGTCCATTCTGAGCTCCAGCTCTCCTACCTCTTTCCCAGTACTGAGAGCATGGGCGTCCACTTTGCGGAAGACCTCTGGACTAGAGAATAGCTCCTTCCTTGACTTCTTCTTCAGGGCTACAGTGCGTGGGATTAGTGCTGCTCTGTCTCTCCCCTGGGCCGGTGAGACCATCTCCCTTCGAGGCCCCTGCATCACTGTGCTCTTCTTCACCACCCTGAAGGTCTGTGCACTCTCTGCAGACAGCTGGCGCTTTGCTGTGGGCCTCCCGAGACTGCTGCTGGCTTCGGACTCATGCCCCAGGGCTGCCCACCTCTCAAACACATTCCTCCTGCACTGGATGCTGCGGGAGGTGGAGGAGGGTGTTCGTCTCTCTTCACCGGCTGAAAGCACCTCGAGCTGCCATTCTTGCTGGAGGACTGTCTCGCCCTCTTTGGTGGTGCCTGTGCCAGATGGGATATGAGCATCCTCAAGGGCATGGGCTCCATCACTGCTGACAGGCTTCTTCAAGTCGCCGGGCTTTGAAGTGCTCTGCGGATTCTTGCTGTCCTGGTGAGTCCTGGGGTAGGCTTCCTCTGTAATCTCTGTGTTGTTGTTGTTGTTGCTGTTGTGTGGATTGAGATGGTGGAAGCTCCTCAGTGGAAGGGATCTCTTTGGATCAGGGATCTCTGCCATCACTCGTAGGCCATTGCCCATTTTTTCCTGTTGAATCACTCTGCAACACTGTGAACAGGGAGAGCAGACTTCATTTTAACAATAACTAGAATGTTATAATCTGCAAGAAATAACCCAGAACTTTTTTATGGTGTTCTTGTCACATGTCCATCTCCAAGGAAATGTGTACATTCTTGGAAAGGAAAATGTTGGTGGACCAGCCCCTTAAGCAGTAAACATGACTTTCCAGTTCTCCAACTTGATGATGAGGTGACATAGCTGTTTTCTTGCAGAGGGACTCAGAAATAATAGTGGAGACCATTTTTCTGAGCTGTGCTCTTGATCTATTTGGATATCCACCTGTCTACTTGGAAGCTTTGCAAAAGCAAAATGCCTCTCATTAATTCCCACCTTCAGGGAGACGGTTTAGAAAGCCTGTGGCCAAGAAAAATGTCTACAAGACTCTTATGTTGCCTGTGCAATCTGTATATTAAACACAACTAAGTGACTGTTTCCTGTTTGAAGAAATCAGATTATGTGTATAGTGTAATATACTGTAGGCAGAGTGAGATGTACAGTATGTATATGCATTGTTTGCATGTATAAAAGTATTGTTTGTTTTAATTTATATATTTTATATTTTCTGTTCAGTGTTGTTTTTTTGTTTTTGTTTTGTATGGTTATGCCAAAGAAACATTTTTTTTTTGATGGATTCATACACATTACACAGATTTTAACACATGATGAGGAAAGTGGAGATTCTTCTCCTTAATAATTCTTTGTATGTCTCATAGTCATAGTTTTTTTCTCCATAAAAACATTTTCATATTCTCGGACATGTTGCCAGAACTAACAGCTTAATATATGTATTAAGATAAAATGGCTAAAAATTGGTTTTATTATACTATACTATGGTTATATATTATATCAGTGGTGAATGATCACAATGGGAAACTAATCCTTCATTAGAATAACTCAGGGAAAAGGGGAGGGACTCTTATAAAAAATGGCTTCTAGGTCTGCATGCAAACCTTTTAAGAGACGTACTGTGAAAAGGAATAAAAGATTTAAAGAATACTAATGACGTACAGCCATAAGCATAGTGAAAATATTCCTCCCAAGCCTTCTCTTTGGAGACGGTTCTATCTGGGCATGATGGCTCGGTCCACTCTGCTGGAATGTCCCATACAGGAATAGAACACTGTTATAGTTGTTTTAGGTTATCATTAACCTAAAAGTCAAAGGTTGTTTGACCAAAGAGTGTTGACGTTCATCAAAGCGTGCTTATTGAAAGTCACCACAGACTCAGCTGAAAGTCACCATAACATGCCAAGCAAAAAGCATTTAATCCCAACAGACACTCCAGCATGGCCTGCAGACAGAAGAGTCTGGAGATTCGTAGCTCTGAAGATCTTGTGACTCTCTGCATCAAGACCTGAGGATTAAAGTGTTTGGTGAGAAGTCTCAGTGTTGAAAAATCTAGTTTCATAACACTTGGTCTTTGTTTAAAACAGACAAAAGCACACGCAGGTCAAAAATGGTATCTAGGGGTGAATAATGGAACATACTACTACTACACAGAGGTGTTGGTGAAGGCGATACTCTGATTTCTTTTGAAAAACAGTTGAGATCCTGGGATCAATTAACTATCAAGTGAGCTCAATAGACTGAATGGCCTCCTTTTTTTCTGTAACCTTAACTCCTTTTAATTCCAAAATACTGGGTGACTTCAAGGACTTTGGCATTGATAATCCAAACCGAGTGCTTAATCTCACTGTCTTCAATGTCATATAGCCCACTGCGCCGCTCATGTGCCGGATGGGAATAAGGCCGTTGTTTATCGGGCAGGTATATTCTGTTGTAACACAACATCAACATCGGAAGGATGTTTTGCAATTTTGAAAGTAATAAAGTAGAACTACTTCACTAGAGAACTTAAGAACATTTTTCAAGATCTGTATTAATTTATTTTAATTTTGGCATACTTCGACTTTAAGAATGTTGTCTTAGAAAAAACAGCAGTTCCACTCCCTGACATTTCCCAGAACCATCTTTGTTCGTTGTTCCCTCCAGGATAATGACGTTTACATGGGTTGGAATTCTGAGTAGTGTGCTTAATGTGGACACGGTTTTAAAATCCATGGGGGAAATATTTACCATAATAAATAATGGAGATTAATGGGGACGGGGAGGACATAATTTTACTCTGAGGCTCATGTGCTACACATTTCTCCATAAGAATCACAGTATTTCAAGAGTAATCGGGACCAGGACATGAGAACGCAATTTTACAAAAAGCATACATTTTTGAGTACAGAACACCTATAATGACTGGTTTAGCTGAGCACTTAAATGTAATTTAACCATGTTTAAAACGTTTTAGCAACACTCAGAATTGGAAAAATTGTTAATTGTGAGTGTTTTGAGCAAAGAGCAACATTGCATTCATTTAAACATTAAACTTCAAATGTCAATGATTTTAACACGTTGTATCACATACAGTACAGTACGTGTAGTGCCTGTGAAGCTGAAAGCACAATAAAGTACTTGTACAGTATGAATTATTTTGTAATTTTACTATACTACACCTGCACATCAACTCGCCAACAAGAAACCCGATGGCATGTGCAATTTTGTATTTAGCCAACTGGTTTAAATTAAGCTTTTTAGATATCATTTCATAGATGCAATTAATTTAAATGTGTTTTATAGCGGTTTTGAATTAAGACCTACAAATATGTCAGCTGAACAGCAGAGCTGCTTGGACAGTTTAGGGAAATTGATGTAAGGCAAAGTGCATGTCCAGACCAGAATTACAGTG